TTTGACCAACAATCCTTCTTAAAATGACCTATCTTTCCACAATTGTGACAAGCATCTTTCCTAGCAGATTTAAGCTTACCTTCCTTCGCCATTTGTCTCCTTCCAGCTACTGAGGAGATTACAGATGTAGGTAAAGGTCAAAGAAGGGCTGGGCGATATCATATCGATATTATATCGCGCATGCGCAATAATCACCGGACGCCAGCTTTTCGGTGCTATACGGACATTAATTTATGCCCATAATTGGGTAAGAGGATTAGTAGTATGGCTTAAATATTAATGAGATGCATTTTGTGATACCCAAAAGTTAGTAATCTGTATAAACTTTATGTTTCTTAAATTTGATTAGCGGAGCACCCCACATAATACTGTTTTGGTATGCTACGGTTTCGTATACCTCAGTGCAATAATCACTGAAGTCACGGTGAAGAAGAGCAGCCACGACATATTTTAAAAGAGGAGATCTTGTGGATAAACAAGGTTAAAACACGTCGGTGGTGTGGTGGTACTTTTTGCAGTTCAAAGTCTGACACATTTATGAAACAAGGATATGCCGTATTTATTCTAATAATGACTTTTGGACGTCATACAAAACCTCATTAATATTTTAGCCATACTACTAAACTGCTTAAATTGTGGGCGTAAATAAATGTCCGTATATCACCGAAAAGCTGGCACATGGCCAAATGTTGCGTCTGTCATCTGAAGCCCTAGTGATTATTGCGCATGCGCGATATAAAATCGATACGATATCGCCCAGCCCTAGGTAGGGCTGGACAATAATTCGATATCAATATATACCGCGATAGAATTTTTTTCGATAACGGTGATACTATTTTTAAACACATTTCCGATATTTCGATATACATTTGAATATTATATATATTCACCGGCTTTTAAAAATGTATCACAAGTGCTAAACAGCGCGTATTCAAATCGCATTCGCATGGTAATTTGCTGAACAACGCAGCTGTGAAACGTGATCCAGGTAAAACTTTTTTAGACAGCATAAATAATATTGAAGCATTTGTTTTCAAGCAGGATGTTAAAGGGAAAAGCAACAAAGCATTTTAGACTTTGTAAAGAAACCATAGTAACCACGTGTATGATACTTTTCAGAGCTGCGTCAGAGGGAAATGACTCGTGAATTTAATT